TGGGCCCATCTTTATGCCAGGTTTAGTCTTAATAGTAGGTCAGAAAAGGGGATGGCATGTGGCTCCACACTGGGGGGACTTGAGGGGCTCAGCAGAGCCACCCAATGCACGAGGCTGGGGGCTTCCCCTGGGCAGTCCTGGCCCAGGCTTCCGGCAGGAGCAGTGGGAGGACCTGTCAGAGCAGCCTGTGTGTGTTCAGGGGGTGCTGAGCCTGACAGCTTCCCTGTGTTTGCTTTTCTCTGTTTGGTGCCACCTGAGCAGACTGATGGAGAGAGACGGCCGCTTTGCAGATGAGCACGCTGAGCGCAGAGCTGGAGGTCTGGTCAGTGACCTGGGTCTAGTGGCAGCACAAGTGACACTCTGTCCTGCCTGGGACGGAGATCTGGGAGGCTCTGGGGAACTGGCTTTCTTGTGGGTGCAGAAACCGGCCAGCAGGCAGTGGCTGCCCTGGAGGGTAAGGAGTGGAGAAGTCCGTTTGCCCTGAGTGGTGGTGTGGGGGTGTCTCGGGGCAGTGGTGACCAGGGGACCCGGGTCAGTCGGGGTTCTAATGAGACAAAAATCTACTGTTGAATGCAACTTAAAAACAGAACCCAAAGACCCACCTTCCTCTGGCCCCAGGGCCCCTCAGTTGCCACCCGTGATGGCCTGGCGGCAGGTGGGAGGCAGAAGTGCGCAGCCTGGTGGGGTCCAGGCAGCGTCACTCAGCAACGAGACTCTGCTTCTTAAAGTGGCACTTACTAGACAACGAAAAGCTTAAAATATGAATAAATAGATGCCCATTTAGGTGAGCATTGCTGCCCTACTGTCCCAAACTCTTTTCTAAACATTGCTCCTCGAATTACGAATATAATGAAAGCAGCCACAACAAAATCAAAGTATTCTTTGCTTCTGAAAGCTGGATTTCATGGTCCCGAATGAAGACACCGGGCAGGAAGAAGTCCAGCCCAGGGAAATGGGGACAGAGGACCCACCACCCATCGGGCGTCAGCCTGGAGCATGGCCTGCCCTTCGCTTCCTGAAGTGCCAGAGCCTAGTGAGTGCACAGAGGGCACCCCACCGGAAAACAGGAGGTCGCCAGGTGGCCCTGTGTGGCATGTGAGTGGCAAAGCAGTCGAACAAAACCCAGAAATGAGAAATGTTTGCAAACAGACAAAAACTAGCAAGCAACCCATGTTGCAGTGATGAAGTCTGTGGTGGAGGTGATCTGGTGTGTGGCGGAGGTGAAGGAGTGTGTGGTGGAGGGGAAGGGGTGTGTGGTGGAGGGGAAGGGGTGTGTGGTGGAGGTGAAGGGGTGTGTGGTGGAGGGGAAGGGGTGTGTGGTGGAGGGGAAGGGGTGTGTGGTGGAGGGGAAGGGGTG